GGTGGGAGGGACGGGTTTATGATATTTTTTTAAATGTTGTAATGTTTTTAAATGCTTTGTTGTTTTTAAATGTTGTAAAGCACTTTGCGTTGTTGTTGTTGCACATGAAAAGTGGTATATAAATAAAATTTGATTGATTGATTGATTGATAAATCCAGTGGCAGTGAATCCACCACCACGGCTCTGGATGTGACTGTTTTCTGCATTGCACCTGTTGGTGCTTTAGGCAGAACAAACCGTCTTTGTGTTACGAATCGTGTTCGATAATCATGTTGAGCAAACTGAGAAAATAGCCTTTCATGTAGTATCTTTGGAGATCGCATCAACAGAATATTCCTGACAAAATTTAACAAAACATAGATGGATCTGTGCCTGATAGTGAGCCAACCAAGAGTCAACCAATATTCTCTTTATCAGTGTCAGACTGTTCAACCCACTGGTCCTCTGTGGAGTCACATCGAGTTCTCTCACCTGTTCTCACCTGCTGGTCCCTCCCCCTGTCCTCACCTTGCAGTGTGTGGAGACACTGTCCTGTCCGGACATCCCACACTCTGACGGTGGAGTCGGCGTTTCCAGACACCAGGACGTTGTCTCGGAGCTCCATCCCACTGGTCAAAGACTGGTGACCAGTCAGAGTGTGGACACAGTTACCTGGACAACACAAGGCCCAGGTGAGAAGCAGTTACCTGGATTTAAAGACTTCATGTCTCCACTGTTGGAGGCGACAAAGTCAGAACTTTGACATAAAGGAAAAATTTGGTTTATTTAGTGCAATTTAACCATCTGAGCTCCAACACCAGCCGGTTTATAAGACTGTCATCTTTAACAATCACCAAAATCAAACCCTTTATCAGAGATTTGGTGATTTTATGAACACTGTCTTCAGATTCTAGTTAAATACAGCATCAGTTTGATCAGTTACACGGCTTCCACTCAGATTACACAGGTAAACACAGGTGAGGTCTCACCTGTCTCTGCGTCCCAAACTCTGATGGACGTGTCCAATGAACCGCTCACCACAAACACACCGTCAAACTGCAGAGACACACACAAAGCTACAACTGAAACACAACTACAGCAGAACAGACACACTGCAGGGACACAAGCTTATTGGCTTTGTGTCTGTTGTGTGTTTACCTGCTGTTAGTGTTGTGTTTACTGTTGTTAGTGTTGCGTTTACTGTTGTTAGTGTT